ATACTGTTAAGAGCCCTGAAGCCCACACAGCAACGTTTGGTCCCATCCTTTATCTGGACTAACATGACGGGAGCTGTCCAGGGACTATCTGATTTCTCAACTATCCATTCCTTAATTAGGCCATCCATGACCTTCTCCATTTCTTGTTGCTTTGCTGGAGCTATTCTCTTCAGAGAGATCTTTATTGGACGGTGAATGCCTGTGTTTAATTTGTGCTCCACAAGGTCTGTGCACCCAAGGTCATGATATCTTTTTGAAAAGACGTCTGCATAATTCGCCAAAAGTTCACTAACCCGAAGAGCCTGTGATGATGACAAATGGATTATGCTTTTCTTATAGATGTCAGTTAACTATTCTGAGAGAGGATGTCCTTTCTTTATGGTTGTATTTCTTGCCTTAACATTGACTAGCTCTACCTCCTGGTACACACACCCATTCATTATTTTGCAAAAAATATAAAATTATTGGTGACTTAAATTGACAATTCATTTTGCTTCTTCTTGATCGATCTGATTAATTTTAATGGTCTTTATACCTTTTTGAACTAAGAAAATTTGTTTGCTTTGTATAAGACAGCGAAGCTTAATAAGCTTTATACATTTCAGTTGCTCCATATTAACCATAAACGTTATTAGTTTGGGAGGAAGCACAGGAGGGGCATAATACTTTGCCATGTGCCTTTCCGCTCCTAGTTACGTCCCTAAACAATTATTTACAACACTGACGACTCAACCCTTAAAAAATAACATGATAAAAAGTTATATCAATAAATCCTTTAACAAAGAAACTGTTAGATATTGTTGTAACAAGTTTTTTTGGTGTGTGGATTATTTTCAATTACTTGGTAAAAATAGTGTTGTAGCATTGCTCTTTCCTTAGTGAGTTCTTCTATACCATCTGGTAAAAATAATTCATTGTTCAGTTTATATGATAATAATAAATAACTTCATTTTCCCCTTTAACATTTGTACAAACTTGAACACGTGTACACTATTGTAACTTGTTATAGGGCTACTTACACATGAGGTTAACTAACACATAACTCACTGGGTGCTATAGCAAACACATATCCAAATATTTCACGAAAACACACTGACTGATTCAACCCTCTATCTTGAAAAACTTTTTCCACTTCACAACTACCTCATATTTGTAATATAACTTCGAATGTGCTGGAACACCCCATGTCACATCCTTAGAAATTTCTAGCTATTCTAAGCCTATCACATGAAACCTCCTGATCTTAACATCATCATTAAGATCTGTAACTCATTTAAATTCTAATATTAAAAATATAACTTACGACACCACCACTTACCTGGATTGTGGAGTCCCTTGAGCAACCTTTATCAAAATCAAAATAAAACACTGCACTAAATTGTCATTAACCAAGTATTGTTGGTGTGTTTTTCACTTCCAAGGCCTCTGGTAAATGAATGGGATGGCATCTTGCCTCATGTTATCACTGTCCTGTTACTGGGAGAGTTCTTCATGAGTAGCAAGTCAGGTTAATCCACTGGTGATTTTAACCTTAATGATCTTCTGAAAGTAGTCTCAATAGGAACTATGGGCTGCTCAACAAGTTGAGTTTCTACTGATAAGTTCCTCTCTGGAGTTACTCAGTTGGCCATTTTTTCACTGGTGTATGTACAAAGACAATCACAAAGGATGACCTTTGACTTGGATCACCTATCCTTCTAAATTCTTTAAATCACATAACTAATTATTTTCAGTACAGCATATGGCCCTTACAGCACCATCTTGGTTTTGGAGTTAGTCCTTTCTTACAGCAAATATCATACATCATATAATTTCACCTTGATGGAATCAAGTATTATCAGCATCAACATCATAGTGATTTTTCATTCTACCACTAGCCGATTTAAGTATTTCTCAAGCAAAGTCATGTTTGTCATATATGGTGCTCCTTAGACTCTCGACATATCTCTTCTGAGTGACTGTTCTCCAGACAATAGTACCACAGGTCCAGTGGTATTATAAGTTCTCTTCTAAACATCAGTGTTGTTTGTGTATTGTCGGTAACATTATGTACTGCTGTACTATAACCCATTAGTAACAGTAGAAGATGTTGGTCTCATGT